GTCTTTTTTATGACACTTATATCACAATTTTACGCGCTAACCACTTGCGCCATCGAGCTCGTCTTAAAAAAGCTCACTTCATTATGTTATTAAATTTTATTAACTTAATAGTTTGCATTGTACAGTCGCATAGTTAGTCGCAAAGTATACTTATTTAGAGATATTTATCCAATTGTGTTGCTACCAGTTAGGTACCGACACCAGATGCTTGTCACATGTACCAACACTTACGAAAGCGAGAGGATTAACTAGGCGATCCGTCGTATGGTTATCGATATCTAACTAATATCTTATCATGTGCACATTAGTACAGAAGGAACAGAGGCTGAGCTACTTGCAGTGCGCGTGTGTGAGTGAGCACTGGCGGCCTTTGGCCTCCAATTTAAAAGCCTCTTCGGTGGTATCGTGTAAGCGGATCCACAGAACAAAGTCTGTGTTCTATGGGCAAGTCGTCTGAGCAATGTAGGTTCATGCGTCATGCTCGTGAACGGGTGCTGTCAGCGGAGATGAGTCTGCTCAAACGCAAAGTAGTTATATTGAAGATATTATCTAATTATCATCATCAGCCTATTAATGTCTACACTGCTGTGGCACACGTCTACACATTTATTATCTAATTATACCTAATATAAATAACAATATGTATTTGTAATGATACTGTACGACACAGCAATCACAACGCAGATGAACAATTAATGTAAATTTCACATTATTTAATAAAAGGTGAGATCATGAATCATCTTTGAATCCATCTTCAACTAGACGACTCTGTAAATAATAAATAAAGAGAGAAAAAGAGTTTCTTGCCGGTTCTTCTGAGTACAAGGTCTCACGCCGTAGATTTACGAACCGATTGTGTATCTAGACATTCATGAGTGCTTGTAATTGTAACAGTCTGAACTGAATACATGATTGATTAATAGGAAGGAAACGTTTCCCCGCGTACGCTACCGGCGCCAGTGCTCATTCGACACACAAGCGCATATCTCTGTGCCGTCTTTACTCATGTGGTATGGTCACAGTCACAGCGGTGACACTCTCTGTACGTGAGAGTTCCAGCGTCAGTGACCTTGAGCAGGAGCGTGTATGCGCTAGGGTTGAACCGAATTGGAATTTAGACTTGTGCCAATGAATATTTATGCATAGTAAGTTATTAAATGTAAACTGATTCAAGGATACTGGGGTAAGAAATGAAGGATAGGTTTGATTTTATAATCAATTTTTATCTTTCGATGTAGGTACTATTACAAATTGCTAACTCTTATTTATTTTCTGCTTTTTCGATTCGTTTTATAATTCTTATTATTATCTAAATAATAATAAGATTGCGTAGCGTAGTCAGTCCGTGCGTGCAATGCAGTGCAACGCTATTATTTTACTATTTCGCTATCGCTACTGCCATGCCTTCGGTCGAGGCAGTCGGTGACTGCCTTCTCCACGCCCCGCGCGCCGCGCAACGCCCCCGCACACCTCCAGACACCCACACATAGCCGCGGGCGATTTTACGAACACACATGCTTAAGTGTCGTTTCTTTTCGCGTAGTGTATATATTCTGTGGTATGGTATCGATCTCAAACCAACCAGTATCATGTTGTGTGGGCGCGGCCAACCGTCACCGGCGCCGGCGCCCGCGCACGCTGCGAGCCACGTGCTTCTCTAGGGGCCAATGTGGTGAGGCGACTAACATATAACCAGTTATATTCACAACACATTTTAAGCGAGTAAGCTTTATCGTTAGCATACTTAATAAATTACTTTTACATTGAAAATGTTGAAGGTAAAGAACTTTTCGTTGGCGCAAATGAATACGTTATTCAGCGTTTCCACTTAATGTAACACATGCACTAGGCAAGATTTATCTGAATGTGTCATCATGAATCATTTGTAATATTAGTTTAAGGTACCTACCTAGGTATCTATACCTTAAGCATAAAATGGATATACTGCTATCAAACACAAATAGCAAAACTCATGACAAGTGCTAGCATTACATTCGTGTCACGAACTGATTAATTTAAGTCCGTGTTTTATACAGACTGTGAACTGAATACTTTTGTGGCGAAAGCGTACCGAGGCTAAATACCACATAGAAATAGGGTATTTGACAGTATAAAAAATAAAGTGCCAATTGTTAGCATCTGTGTTTAGAATTAGGGCTGCCATCCGTCCGGGTTTTCCCGGATTTGTCCTAGTTTACGGGGCGTCCGGGGAGCGTCCGGGCGGGGTTTCATTTGTAGTCCGGGTTTAAAAATTTACGGCAACGCATGACTGGCCCTTGGTGCTGCAAGTGTCCATGGGCAGCAGTGACCACTAATTATGAGGTAGACTTATGCTCTTTTGCCTAGATCAACATAAAAACGTTGATTTGTGATATTTTAACTGTTTTTATTGGTCTGTCCGGGTTCTGGGCTCCAAAATCCGGGGTTATCACGCGTCTTATCCTGGTTGCCACATTTTAGAGATGGCAGCCCTATTTAGAATGAATATTGGCAGGGGTTTTTACTATTTTTACAATAAAAATAGTCATAATTTTACTAAAAACCCACGAAAAAGATAATAGTTTTCTTATCTATTGTCATGTGACCTAAAACGCTTGGGATTGGCGGAGCCTAAAATGACGTCACACGCAAGTAAACTTCCGGTTAAAGTGACATTACATTGTATCGTTTGACGTTTTAATATCAGTCGTGTGACATCACACACTAGGAAGACGCCATATTGTCCAGAAAAACGTTTTCGCGGCAACTTGAAAATAGAGTTTTTGATTTGGCTACTTTTACTGAAATACGCAACTGAATGATGAATATCCACTTTTTATGGACTCCATAAACATTAGTCAATAACGTGAGATCGTTTTCTAAAACTTGTCAAATACCCTTTGAAGCAATTGAAAATCTATTAAATTAAGTTTGACCATTTCATAATAGTGCCTAGGAATGATATACAAATAAATAAATAATAAATATTTCCAACACTCACACCAATTAGCCTAGCCCCAAAATAAGCACTGTAGGCTTTCGTTATGGGATACTAGGGCAACGGATAGTGTAATATACTGATACATATAAAGGTGTATTGATACAGAAATACATATTAAACATTCATTTGACGACCTCCGTGGCCGAGTGGTTTGTACGCCGGGTTTCATGGTGTCGCCGACTCGAGAGGTCCCGGGTTCGAATTCCGGTGGGGGCAGATGTTTGTGTGATGAATACGAGCATTTGTACTCCAGTCATGGATGTTAAATATGTAATTCTATATAAATATACTTAAATATGTACAGTATATGTATTGTATCCGTTACCCTAGTATCCCATAACACAAGCCTTATAGTGCTTACTTTGGGGCTAGGCTAATTGGTGTGAGTGTTGGCAATATTTATTTATTTATTCATGACTGAAGTACAAATGCTCGTATTGATCACAGAGTTCCCATAATTTTCAAGATTGTGACTTTTACGAAAGTTCCTGACCCTTTTTATAGTAATTATAAATATTCAGCCATTCAGCATTAAATTTTACCATGGCCTTTCATCTTAATCAGTTTAACGGCATAAAGAGGTAACCGACAGACAGAGACACTTTCGCATTTGTAATATAAGTATGGATTTACTTGCTAAAGATTTTTTCTAAATACTGCTTAGAGGAACATCCTTATCATGCGCAATGCAGAATGTGTATCCTAAGTAGTGATGTGCCGGATATCCGTATTCGTATCCGCGGATATCCGAGGCAGAAGAAAGATCCGTATCCGTGTCCGTATCCGTTACTTTTTGGGGGATCTTTTACGGATCTATTTACCTTATTAATTTTAAATTTATAGATAAAATTCTTTAAGGCGAAGGGTAAGGCGCACTAGCGACGCCAATTGCCGAAATTCTGACGGTCCACAATTATTTGAAATAGATCTGGTTTAGTAGCTAACAATTTAAAGCAATTGGCGTCGTTAGTGCGCCTTACTCTTTGCCTTAAATAGGTGATTAGGTAGCAATAAAAAACTATTAAATTCAATACTCTACTTTATGTTGCAAACTTATCATCACAAATTTTACTTTCCATCACAAATTTTACACTTTGCACATTCATCATTTCTTATCACAAAATAATTCCAAATTACACTACTAAATTTCTTTGTAAACATTTTTTTAAACTCATGTACCAATACCAAACACAAGCGTTATCTATGTTGCCCAGTGTCACATTAAACTAAAACAAAACAAAAAAAAACCCGCCGCGCAATGCAAGTCGAAACATGTCTCAACTCAAGATCGCGCGCACCGACACCGATTGTGTAAGAAAGTTAAGATCCGTATCCGTATCCGTATCTGCGGATCTTGACACCAAATATCTGTATTCAGATCCGTATCCGCGGATCTACATTTTTGACGATCCGGCACATCACTAATCCTAAGTTCCGATGGACGTCCGCATCATATTAATGATCGCGTCTCCACTTTCGATGTTTGTAGTTATATTTTTATATATATCTTGCAAATATTTTAAAATAACCAAGTGCCCCTTAAAAATACATCAGAAACATTAAAATGACATATTTATTTATTACGATTTCAGAGGCCCCAAGCACGAATTTTCGTCATATTTTGACACTTCATTTCGTCATATTTTGTATGGATGTAGCCAGTTTGTTTTTAAGTCCGGTAGGGGCGTTGCTGTATTTTCATAGATACTTTGACGATGCGACACGATTACGGAGCTTTCGAAATTCGTGCTTGGGGCTCAGATGTAAACTAAAAAAATATGAAAAAAAAACCAGTGATTGAAAATTTGTTAGCAACGTCATTATATATTTTTTATATTTTTTACTCATTATGTTCACATTTAAAATCTTACAGTAAGTAGTTTTTAATAAACGTATGCTGCAGATTGCCTTTAAAAAAATAATAGTGTTCAATATATCCATCAGCGGATCTATTTTGTTTATTTACAACACAGATAATCACACCTGTAACTTGATTCACGTAGTATTCAACGCGAACTGTCTAATCATCATCGTTAGGATCAAAGGTAACATCGAATGATTCCATGTCTTGGTTTAAATTATCTTCCGTTTTAATATCACAATCCATGGTGACAAACAGCGGTTGATTTTGATTCATACTATTGTGTTCTCGCAGTTCTGCATCGGCGAATAGCTTTGCAATGTTTACTTTCAACATTATTTGCGTTTGTACAGAGAACCTTTTAAATGTTTTAGCGTAGCTCTGGAAGAGGTCGTCCACGGCGTCGGTATGGGGCCTCTTTTGTTTACTCCGCATAAAGTTTAGTATTCTCTCAACGTCGTCGTCGCTGGTGGTTGCTGTAGCAGTTCGACTTTGGGTGACTTTGGTTACTGTTTGCGATGTGCGAGTTGTCGACGTAGATGCGGAGGGTGTGGATGGAGCATACGTCGATGAGGTATCATTGTCCTGCCATTCATCAGAATCAGGTACCGAAGAATGTGAATAACTATTATACTGTGCAGCAGTTTTACTCATACTAGGTATTATTTTTCTACGTTTCGCGTAATTATCTAAAAATTGCAAATGTGGAGCCCAGCACCAATTGGTATACGATTGCTTATGGCTAGCATTGTCTCCCATATCGCCCTTGGAGTGTTTTTTATATTTGGTGTATCCGTCTCTTAAGCCTTTCCATTTTATGCGACACCCCTCACCTATAATATAAAAGTAAATAAATGGATAATACAAAATATTATGCTATTTGTTGGGTTGTAATTTTACATATACATGATACACTTTTAATCTTTCTTATACACCGTGAATTTTGAGTTCTCTGAGGAACTTTACCAGCTAACTCAGATAACGCTTTAGATTATATTTCCACAAAAAACTGTTTCTTTCGAAAATACTGTTTTTCGAAAAATCTCTCCACGTCAACTCAATATTTTTACAAATATGAATCCTCCACAATTTTAATGGTTACTATTATTTTTAGGATCTGCGTACTTTCAACGGATACTCATTCGATAATAAGTATGTAATTATTACAAATTTGTGCCGTTTTACGATACTTTTTAAACGATATAAATCAATATTTATGTATGGGGGTGTAATACGTTTACTGTCAATAGCTGTACGCACTATATTAATTTACACGATTTTTAAGTTTCTTGGCTAACTCAAAATTCGTGGTGTATAATGTTTATAGGAAACCTTTTTTGTTTGCTTAAGATAAAATTCATGGTTTGTTTTAACAAGTGCGAGCTAACTGTAAGGGGACTAAACGGATTGGTGTTTACTGTATAAATTATGGTTTGCTGTAGCAATTTCGTAATTTTTTAGCATAATGTAGTATAGATTGTGGGTGTCTGTTGACAGATCGTATGGCAATAAGCGATTGGGTCGATCGATGGGCCCGGTCGTGCTCTGACAATGTTTAACGTCACTGTCACACACGCTCGGTCTCATGGTAAAAATATTGTGATATGGTAACGTGAATCAAAATCTATTCAGTTCCCTAAGCACGATACAATATCGAAATCGAATAGATTGCGAGTGGAAAATATCATTGTCAAAATTTCTATGGAAACTTGAACAGCAACGCCACAACGGACGTAACGAAAACTCAGTACACATTTTTGACAACGACATTTCGCACTCGCAAACTATTCGAATTCGATATTGGATCGTGCTAAGGTTACTGTTAGTGTTTCGCATCGCAAGGCATTAATCAAGCAACTGGCTATATTCTATGAATACTTAAATTATATTTGAGACTTATGTAAGTATATTGAATCAGCTGTTAAAAAAACGTTGCAATTTCGGTTGCCTGTAGTGTTGCTAGGGCGGATTTGTTTTAAATCGGTAAATGATTTCAAAAAAGTCGGGACTTAAGGCTGCAGAACGGGACAGTTAACAAAAAACAAGGGGTTTTTAAGTCTGGATTTAATTTATTGCGATTAAAACGCATCGCAAGGCATTAATCAAGCAACTGGCTATATTCTATGAATACTTAAATTATATTTGAGACTATAAGTATATTGAATCAGCTGTTAAAAAAACGTTGCAATTTCGGTTGCCTGTAGTGTTGCTAGGGCGGATTTGTTTTAAATCGGTAAATGATTTCAAAACAGTCGGGACTTAAGGCTGCAGAACGGGACAGTTAACAAAAAACAAGGGGTTTTTAAGTCTGAATTTAATTTATTGCGATTAAAACTACTCGGAGAAAAATAATATTATATTAATTACCTAAATTTAATTTTTTGATTAATCGGGACATTTGGCGTCCAAATACTGACGCATCCCCAGACCCCTGAAAATCGGGACGTCCCGCGCAATTCGGGACACCTGGCAACACTAGCTGCCGGTTCAATTTCCAGTCGTCTTAAAATGCCTATGTTTAGGTATTGTTATATAAAATGGGGTTTTGTTTCAATACCAAAACGATGTCACCTTAACAGTTTTGTCTGAGTATATGGGCAAGTTGCTAACAGATGGTTAGGAACAAAAAGGGAAATTTGATATTCCTTGTCAACAAAAAACTTAAGTCTAAGTACCTACTCGATCAATTTAAGAATCAAACGCGGCTTTTGTATTATTAGTAGATAAACGACGACCGCATAACTTTTCAAACAAAAGAATAACTTAACAATTAAAATGTGTACTCACTCGATTCGTTCATTTCTCTTGCAATAATTTCCCATGTTTCCGCTTTTTTCTCTAGATTTGTAAAGTTCTTGTCACGCGAATTATACAGCATTGGATATCTCTTCACACATTCTATGAATTTTTCGGTGGCCATCTTGTCCACCACGCACACGTGCCAAATAACTTTCAGGTCAAACACAACCGACGCGTTTCGCTCTCGTATCGCGTGTCGCGCGTCTCGCATTCGCTCTCTGTCGGGCATCGTTCAATACAAGCTTAGGCGATCTCGCATCTCGCTCAAACGCAGTCAGCGGATATGACTGTCCCGCTCACGCCACGCCTCGCCTCTTGTGTCGGGCGGCCTCGCGTGGCGTCGCTCACTCGCCTTCGGGCACGACACGGAGTCGGTCCGCTCTCTAGCGATTACGTGACGAGTTGCGAGCGACCACTTAGGTACCATACGTATGCCAATTTTTTGCCACGCGTTCGAGGTGCGTTCGGACTACGCTATGCCGCTTTATGAGAGATTGAAACTTTTGTTATGAATGAGTCGTTTACAATTTTTTTTTTACTGACTGGGTCTTTAAATGATTCTCGAGTCACAGTTTATTAAAGGCTCCTAAAAAGCTTGAACGCTAAGCTTTTAGGAGTTTTCATTTGAGTTGTAAACCGTTATTGATGAGGAGTGTTATTTTTAAAGAGAATGTAAACCGCGAGCCCCTTCATCACTATAAGTATGAAGGTAACTTCATTCTGTACGTTGTGTACGGCTCTCCAGCACACAGAGACAAAGTGCGAAGGAATGACAAATGAAAAGCGAATTCGGGAATGGCCTATGCGCCGCGCCGAGTAACAAGTACAATAGGCATTTTTTAGATTAATTTAGAGTTGCATTCCCAATGGATAAAAACGGAACCCTATTGCTATCGTTTTGTCGCCTGTCTGTCCGTATGTCACAGGTCTCTTATGTAAGAATGCTTGCCCAAAGCCGAAGAATTAAGTAAAAACTAAAAAATCAATTAACTTAATATTCATTTGGGGGTCCCATACACGAAAAAGAGTCGACTTTTTATCATTCTTACTCCAGCATGTGACACATAATTGTTTAACAGCTTGTTGAGTACGATATAAATATATATTTCACTATTTTCATTTTCAATAACAAAGTCATGGAAATCACATAATAAAAGAATGTACAATTTTGGTTTACGACATCCTATTATGTTGTATTTAAACAACAAATACTGAAAACGTACTTTGTAAGTTGTGAAAATAACAAACAAATGATTTTACAGAACCTTAATAGAGGGAGGTTAGAATCGCACATGCATTTTTTTAATTCGGGCGATCTGGTTGTAATGTTGCTTTACTCCTTTCCTTCATCATCACAAGTAAAACAAGTAAAAAACCCCCACTTAAACAAACCGCCTATAACAACACCGGATATAGCGAAATATCGCTACTAGAGCCAATGCATATTGATAAAGTTCATATCGATATTCTTCGGCCATAACGACCAAGTGTTTTACTTGTTCCAGCAAAACAAAATATACTGTAGGTACTTAATTTTTTTCGTAATAAAATTATTCTTTCTTTTTTCGGTATTTTTTTGAAAACTGAAAGCTTATAGCCATTATCTTTAACCATATTACAATATGACAATAATATGACTACTGTATATTGCTTATAACAACTATCGGTCATAACGTCAGAAATTATGTGGTCCCTTCAATGTCGTTATATCCGGTTTTGACTGTATTTCCAACACCTCACCAATTAGCCCAGCCCCAAAGTAACCACTGTAAGGCTTGTGTTGTGGGATACTAGGGTAACAGCCTACAATAAGTGTACTGTTCATATAAAAAGTATATTCATATAAAAATACATATTAAACATCCATGACAGGAGTACAAATGCTCGTATTCATCACATAAACATCTGCCCCCACCGGAATTCGAACCCGGGACCTCTCGAGTAGGCGACACCATGAAACCCGGCGTACAAACCACTCGGCCACGGAGGTCGTCAATCAAAATTGGTTTGCTATAAATAGCTAAATTATAAAATAACTAGCGGCCCGCCCTCGCTTCGCTTCGGTGTAGAGCTGAAGTGTAGACTACAGTTTTTGTTCTCAGGCTTGTATTATACACAATGACATTCATCTATGAATCTTCTTATACCTGCATGCAGTCTCAGCCTGATCCGTTTAAAATTGACAAAGTATCATACAAACTTTCATTCCCTATTTTATCCCCTTGGCGGTAGAATTGATCAAAATCCTTTCTTAGCGGATGCCTACGTCATAACATCTACCATGCCATGCATGCCAAATTTCAGCCCGATCCGTCCAGTGGTTTGGGCTGTGCGTTGATAGATCACTATGTCAGTCCGTCACCTTTGAGTTTTATATATATAGATAAGTGAGTGCCGGCGACTTCGTCTGCGTAAAAAAAAATAGTTTCCCATACAAACAACTACCCCCCCTTTTCACCCTTCTAAAGGATGATTACTGTGATGAAATCTATCCTATGTCTTTTGCCGATACCCAAACTATGTCTATACCAAATTTCGTCTAAATCGGTTAAATATTAGCATGGATTACCTCAAACTACACTATCTATCGGCCCACTTAGGCCCGTATTATAGAAAGATTCTCAGTAATGAATCTAGTCTTGAGCATAGATAGAAAGGGATGTCGCTATATATAGCACATAGCGACATCCCTTTCTAACTGTACTCAAGTAGAGATCAACACTTAGTTGTCATTTTGTAATATAGTACAGTCAATCTGTCGAAAAAAATATCGTTTGAGTGAAAAAAAAACCTAAAGGGTAAGTCTTGTTTTTTCTGTTGCCAAATGACGTCAGTAAGCCACCTTGGCGATGGGCATGTTCAACTCGTAGGCGTTTTTTGAAAAACTCAAAAAAACATTCAAAATTTTTTTGAAACGCATTTTTCTTGTTTTGTATGCATTTTAGAAACTTTTTTTTCGACCATAATTGTAGAGGGCGTTGAGTGCTACAATTTATGTCATTGTTGCAATCTCGTACAACAAAAAATGCTCATTGTAGGTGGCGCTAAAGTCTCAAAAAAGTGTTTTTTCACTTTTTCACCCTGAAAATATCATTTTAATGGAAAACTTTAAATGGCAAAGTTGTTTCGTACATAATTACCAACAACTTTTGTATAAACATTTTTTTTGTATTACTTACTGTTTTCAAGTTATAAATTGCGTAGGTATGAAAAATCCAATAGAGCGGTTTTGGGCAGTTCACGTACACATTTGCAGTGCACATTTCAATGTACGTTTTACTATTTTTTATTTCTTTTCATGATTGAAAAACAAAAAAAAAAATGAAAAAAAAAATAGTTTTATTTTTATTTTTTTTCATGATTGAAAAAAAAATGGTAAAGACGTACATTGAAATGTGCACTGCAAATGTGTACTTGAACTGCCCAAAACCGCTCTATTGGACTTTTCATACCTGCGCAATTTATAACTTGAAAACGGTAAGTAATACAAAAAAATTGTTTATACAAAAGTTGTTGGTAATTATGTACGAAACAACTTTGCCATTTAAAGTTTTCCATATCCTGAAAATGATATTTTTAGGGTGAAAAAGTGAAAAAACACTTTTTTGAGACTTTAGCGCCACCTACAATGAGCATTTTTTGTTGTACGAGATTGCAACAATGACATAAATTGTAGCACTCAACGCCCTCTACAATTATGGTCGAAAAAAAGTTTCTAAAATGCATACAAAACAAGAAAAATGCGTTTCAAAAAATTTTTGACGGTTTTTTTGAGTTTTTCAAAAAACGCCTACGAGTTGAACATGCCCATCGCCAAGGTGGCTTACTGACGTCATTTGGCAACAGAAAAAACAAGACTTACCCTTTAGGTTTTTTTTTCACCACTCAACCTACAGATTGACTGTACTAATACGGATCTAAGTGTTATACGTTTCAAAGGTCTGTGGCAAAAATCTCTTATCTAATAGACAAGTCCGTCCGTCTGTCTGTCTGTGGTGCTGTTTCAGCGGCCAAACCGTAAGAGATAGATAAAGAGAATATTTAAGTTATAAGTTAAGAATAGTCTGATAAGACTACAAATCGGATTTGAGTAACGTAGAACTTCCGGTTTTCGAGAAATCACTAATTTCAAACGAAACCACACAAAATCTCCGAAGTTCTCAATTAATTAAATACCTTTATTTTTTTCTTTAAATCAGGTTTCGGTGAACATTTGGTTCACTGGTTTGCTAGTATTAAATATTATCAAGTTAGATTGAGCAATAATGATATATTTTTAAAAACACACGAAAAAGATGGTAAATAAATCAGCTTCAAAACTGTGAGAAACTTTTTACTCGATGCAACATTTATTTTTAGCTAGGGACCGGCAAAATGATCACTGGGCCGATAGATGTGTCCGGGAGTATATAATAATTAGGGTTGCCACATTTTTTTTGTCCAAATAAAGTACATTTTTTTTTCAGTCTATGCTGATACAAGCACTTGTGAAGGTCAAGAAGCTACGCCATCGGTTTGCAAAACTACGGCGGGAGACCTTGTACTGAGAAGAACCCGCAAGAAACTCAGCAAGGGCTGCTTTTTTCTCCCTGTATTGATATATACAGAGTCGTCAGGTTGAAAAATGACTTCAGAGATATTTCTGAGGTCACCTTCCATTACATTATTTAGGATATAGATATATAGTTACAATAAATTTTATATTTAGTATATAGGATATTAAAGGTAGAAAAAAAAGTACATTGTGTCCAAAATAAAGTACTTCTTATTCCTCTTTATCAGTAAGCTTAAAAATATATTTTACGATGCTACTAGCAACTTTTAATAAATAATTTGGGGCTACTAAAAATCTGTAGTTCTTATCCGCAATGGGTAAGGTCATATTACAAAGTCATACAGCCACGAAAAAATCCTAAGGGCGACATATTCATACTGTCTGTTCGTTTTACGCAAAAATCCTTCATCTCAACCTCTTTTTGTATATTTTATGTAAACTTAATCCTCGAATAATCAAATCACATTAAATAAAGTATTTTCGCGTACTTTATTGTTGGCATAAAGTATAGAATACAATTACCCAAAATAACGTACAATACTTTATAACAAAATACAGGTGGCAACCCTAATAATAATATAGTTACAACTAGCAAACCCAGCGAACTCCGTTTCGCCACCAGATAGCTTCGTTTTATGTAACATTTCGTTTTGTGATTAAAATAAAACTTTTTTTTTTAATTTTTCCTGAATTTTCTTTGCTATAAACCTCACGGAGCCCGAGACCTTTCCAACGAATGCAAAACCGTGGAAATCGGTTCGTGCGTTCTGGAGTTATAGCGTCAGGAAGGAAAACCCGACTTATTTTTATATAGTAGATATACAATAGTCTTGCACAGGATTTTATAATTGTAATAGTTTTGGTTTTTTCTTCAGCAGTAGACTACAGTTTTACAGAGTGAAACATTTTAAGGATTCAATACGCTTTTGCAACTGTGGAATGGGTTAAATATTTAAATTAGGCATTAACAAGCAACTTGTAGGCCGGCAAGGTGATTATGGTTGGTTGGCAATTAAAACAGTTGCACCAACTGTTTTCAGCGTAGTAATTAATAAGCTTGAAACCGACCTCGAACCAATTAATGGCAGTCAATAACATAAAGTATTTTACGATGATAACTTAGCTATCAAACTCAATTATCAAGATTGTATATATTTGTTTCTTAGGTTTTCACGCACATCACTCATTAAATAAAACTAGTTTTAACGGGTTAATGCACGAAACTTTATTTATTTATTGACGTTTCGCAGCCTTTTCAGGTCTGCATCGTGAGAATAATGTTTTTTTATTTAATTTTGTCGAGCTACCTTTGAAAGACTTTTATTGAGCGTTCGGTTATTTTTTTGAAAGATTTTTAAAATTTTATTGTCTATGTAGGAATTTATTAGTTAATTTAGTTAATAAAGTACTTTATTTCAAATTCTTTTTTGTAAAATTAAATAAAAAATCATTATTCTGACGATGCAGACCTGAAAAGGCTGCGAAACGTCAATAAATAAATAAAGTTTCGTGCATTAACTCGTTCAAACTAGTTTTATTTAGATTGTACATGTTATGAAACTTGTAAAACTGTTAATGAGCACATGGAGGAGGAGAAGTACAGATAAAAAGATAAAGAATTTTTTTATTAGAACAATTCCACGCGGACAAGGCAGCAGACGGGCCTCGAACCCGCACCCTTCGCTATCCGGGCGATTGCACTGACAATTTTGCTACCGCGGCCTTGCTGGCGGTGTCAAATTTTCTCTAGCCTTTCCTAGGCTGCAAGGCTGTTTTTTTTTCAATTTTCTAGTAAAATTTTCTTTAAATTTAAAAATCTAGCAGTTAATTGCTTAAAAAATATAAGATATGCAGAAAAAAAATAATGCAAAGATGATAGACCATAATGTAAAATTTATTGCTTTATGTATATATATAATACACACTTAATATGATTTTACTATCTGTAGTAGAATCATATAAAAAAAAACAGTTTCTAACGGGGATATAGACGACTTTCCTTTTTTTCGCGGATCCGAAATGTCAATATAAATAGTCCTTAAATTGTGCTTCATATCCGTTCTAAATATTTAATAGGGAGTTGTTAGTTTTGGCTAATGGGGATGATGACGGGTTATAGTAAATAAAATTCTATTTGGTTAGATCTAAAAATATATCACGTATATTTATTCTTTTGTCATCCAACATAATGCCAGTCAGTCAAGATTGGGAGTGGTGACTCTTGACGTTAACTCTAAGTAAAAACTATACCGAGACATTTCAAATCAATATACCACTGTAATGTTTTGATTTAAGAATAAAGAAAAGAATCGTGTCTAATTATTTTTAATAATCTACTAGATAGACAAAGATAAAGAAGTTCCCAATCACAAAATGTACAAAGAGATTAGAAGGATGATCATATAGCATTTGTACGGGAACCGATGTCGCCGGCTCTAATAATAGATAATAGCCAATCAAAAGACGCGACATCAAACAATCCAATCAATCAGCGCTCACACCCGAGAGCAACGACGCAATCAGAACCAAATTTTGGTCAACTTATGAGCATTTGCTCACACATAACTGTGGCGCGCTTGCCCCGCCCACAAGACCCTTCTCCTCGGCCTTTCTGTGTTTTGTGATCCCAATTAACTTAGATAAGCACTATCCGAAACTTTATTTAAAACTATCAATGATTAATAACGATCTATCTACTCATCGGCGAGGATGCTTCCTGTGGAATCGTTCGGTTCAAAGCTGACATCGTATGAAGGTTCTGCTTTAATATCACAATCGACACTAACAAATGCATGTACTGGCGACTGACATTGATTCATATCGTCTTCCAACAGTTCAGCATCAGCGAACAACTTTGCCATGTTCACTTTCAACATTATTTGCGTTTGTATAGAGAACTTCTTAAATGTTTTAGCGTAGCTCTGGAAGAGGTCATCTACGGCGTCGGTATGGGGCCTCTTTCGTTTGTTTCGCATAAAGTTAAGTATCTTTTCGATGTCGTCATCGATCGCGTTTGCTGCTGCAGCTCGATTTTGAGAGACCTGGGATGCCACCTGAGGTGTACGAATTGCTGACGCCGGTGCTACAGACGATGTCGGTTGAATTTCATCCAGTAAACTATTTTCTTCTTGCGATATCTCATTACAATCTCGATCTATTCGCGAAGGCGTAGCAGCTTTCGAATCAACATGGGTAGATGAAGCAGGCACTGGAGTGCTTGAACTGTATGATGTACGATACTTAGATTTCTTTTTTCGTTTTAAATTATAATTATCCAAAAATTGTAATTGGAAACCCCAACACCAATTCATTGCTCTGGTACCGTTTGGTGTAGTTTTGCCGTCATTTAGATCTTTATATTTAGTATATCCATATTTTAACATTTTCCATTTTCGGCGTAACGCTTCACCTAAAACATAAATTATGAATATTAAAATTCAGGTAGGTACTCAACTAGAAGTGATTCACATCAATATATATAGTGATATACCAACAGTTGTATTTGATAGCATAGAATATGTCTGTTGATGCAGCTGACACCAACGGCTTATTGTGCCCTTCGAAACATAAATTAAAAGATAGTAAATTTTTTGGTCAACTATCGCCACCATCAGCCCATTAATATTCCCACTATGGATGGAATAAGGAGACAGCGCCTTGACCAGGGCATAGGCTTGTGTTATGGGAAACTAGGGTAACGGATAAATACATATTGAACAGCCATGACTGGTGTACAAAGGCTCACCACACAACTCTGTTCATCACAAAAATATCTGCTCCCACCGAGATTCGAACCCGGGACGTCTCGAGTCGGGGACACCATGAAACCCGGCGTATAAACCACTCAGCCATGGAGGTCGTCGATATTTACTTTATTTCTAAATGAATACCTTTTGCTGCTCTGCGCCTCATTAATTAAATTGTACGCAAAATATTGTAATTTCACCTACTATACAGGGCGTCCCACGGCTTCCTCACACAGAGGGAAAGTATATTAAATATTGAAGATAGGATATTTTACTGAAAGAAGACATCATTTTATTTGTAATAATAGCTAGAACTGCATTCACAGATTTTTAAAAATCGCCTGCAAAATCAATATTTTCGAAAAAAAAACACGACATATTTTATGATAACCATCGAAAGGGTTAATCATAAGGATTATTTTTTGCTAAATAACATAGCATTTTAAATGAAAGCAATGTCTAATTACGTGATAAAAATAATAATGTGATATACAAACTGTATAGTACGTATGCATTTCTTTTTGAACTCACAGTTACAATGCGATTGGCTGAAATTTGTAAATATAATAATTCGAAAATGGAACACATAAATTTTCAAACGTCTGCTGATATACAAACTGTATAGTACGTATGCATTTCTTTTTGAACTCACAGTTACAATGCGATTGGCTGAAATTTGTAAATATAATAATTCGAAAATGGAACACATAAATTTTCAAACGTCTGCTCTTTTGTTTTTTGTGTTTCATTTTGGTTTATTTGTATTTTTTTGTAATTTACTTACCATGGTGTATCAGTTGGAGAACTGCCGAGTTTCTTAATGAACGCTTTCCTTCCTGGATAGGTACTTATGGACAAATTAGATGGCCAGCGAGATCCCCATTGGACTTTTTTTTGTGGGTGGGTTATGTAAAAGAGAGATTAGAGGTGGCGCCACTGTCATGAAATAATCAGTTCTGTATTATTGTGTTAATTAAAAATTTTAATGTGCTTACTTCGCTACAAAAGTAAAATCAGCGTTATACTGGGACGATAATGCACCCATGGAAGTGTTCTCTGGTATAATCGTTAAGTGATTGTGAAGAAATATACTTTTAATGACGAGTGTAAATTTAATGGAATACTATAAAATTACATACACGAAAATAAACTATTAATTTATAACTTTAATAACTAAATAATCATCAACATAATTACGTGTTCAGTTTTAACAAAACAGTGTAAAATAGAACTTTCAGTGACTATAATCGTTAATTTTATTCAAAACATAAAGTGTGTTCAAAACATAATAGCTCTTATGCCTTTCGGTAAAAAGGTCTACAATAATTTGTTGGCCTCCTTGGACAGTGACAGTCAAGTAACAGCTGCTTGCGGGGTTAGTACTCTCGGCATGACATAGATGGCGTTACAATGAACTTTTTTGAAAATATTACTTTTCGTCGTCCAAGAAGCACACATAGCAATCACTCAAGTATTTTAGATGAAGAAACTGAAATAAATTATGTAAACTCCACCCTTAATAGCATACTTGATGGTAGTTGTACCAGCTTACCTAATCTATCAACAGAAAATTTTGATCCACATAAAGAAGAACTGAATATGTTGCGGTTGAAACTTCAGTGTGCCCTTGATGAAATATCTAAGCTTAAAAGTGAAAACTACTACCTAAAAGAAAAAAATGCGGAATATGAAAAAAAGCTGTCTATGTTCAAGTATGCAGTAAATACTTTGCGGTCGGATACTTTACCCTTTGACAGAAAAGCAGGTAAATTTTTTACACCTACAGTCAAACGAATTCATTATTCGACACGTGGATTATTTAGAACATCAAATCCGCATATATGTAAACATGAACACGACGACGTTGAAACTGGGACTACAATAAGCTTACCTGTTGTTATTGATAAGTCGTCCGAACAGTTATGCAACCGATCACTAGATGGCACTAGCGGTTGTTCAAAACAAACTACAGTCCAAACAAACGTCAAAACATTGTGGAGCATACCCTCAACTAAAAATAATAGTGATAGTACTCTAAAGAAAAATAAGCTGTTAGTGTTAAGTAGTAATAAATCTAATAAAGTGTTAAAATTAGCCCAAAAAGTGTTTGATAACAAGTTTAACATTTATCACTATTTGTCACCGGGTGCAGGTATGGACCAATTATTATTAGGTATTGAACAAAAATTGCAAAACTTTACTTTGGATGACTATTGTGTAATACTAATAGGTGATGTAGATTTCCAAACAACAAAAAACTACAGTAAACTTGTTACCTCAATACAAGAAAAACTTGCTTTACTTAATCACACAAATATTATAATTGTTACTCCTATTTTTAGAATTCATAGAGATGTCAAAATGTTTAATACCAGAATTGAAACTTTTAATCATTATTTGTATTCTAGTAATTGTCGTCATAGCTTTGCTTATTTGTTGGATTCATGTTTAGATTTACAATATACACATAAAATGTTTTCTTATATTCATGGAAAATTGAACAATTTTGGTTTTTTAAATATAATGAATCATTTGAGTAGACTAATCTCTAAACTTGATGAGTATAATAGCAAACATTTCTGTAAAAAAAATATCATATTTGATTCGCAAGATAAGGACTTAAATTTTTTTCGTGTATAAATCATTAACTTTAATGCACCAAAATATTTGTGGACTTTTAAACAAAACAGATTTATTGGCAGTAGCAATGCATGAACTGACCTTAAAAAATAAATATGTGGACATACTTTGTATTACAGAGCATTTTATGCGCAAAGAGGACTTGAGTAATTTAAATGTAAACAATTATAAGTTAGCTACAAGCTACACAAGAGATATTTGTAGGGGAGGTTCATGCATTATGATTGGTCATGCTTTTGACTACGAGGTTATCGATGTATCAAAATTCTGTATTAAAGGTGTGATTGAAGCATGTGCCATAAATTTGACTCGTGAATCTCTGACCGTTGTGTGTATCTATAGACCTCCTAACTCTGACATTGAATTATTTATGAATAAAATTGACTTACTATTAAATAAATTGTGCAATAATAATAAAAATATTATCATTTGTGGTGACTTTAATATTAATATTTTGAAGAAAAATAAATGGTCCATTGAATTTGAGAATTTGTTATTGAATTATAATTTGAAATTAGAAGTACGAGAACCAACTAGGTTAAGTAGTGGGACTTGCATAGATAACTTTGCACATAATGTTCGTGGCAGTAAAAGTGAGGTAACTGAACTTGCATTGTCTGATCACACATCACAAACCCTTCACTGTCCAGTCAACAAAACGTGTCGAATTAAATCTTGGCGTATTTGTAGGCGTGATTATTGCCAGGAAAATAAAAATAAATTTCATGAAGCTCTTAAGGCATTGAGTTTTTGTGATGTATATGAAGCGAATGATGTTAACAAAGCTTACAGTGCTTTTATAGAGACAGTTATGTTGTTTCACAATTTGTGTTTTCCTGAAAAATTAATGACCATAAAATCTAATAAAAGCCCCAAGTGGATCTCACAAGGTATTCGATTGTGTAGTAAACGAAAGCGACAACTGCTTTGGAGGTACAGATCTTGTCCAACCAAGGAAAATAAATATCTGCTCCGAACTTATTCCCAAAGATATAAAAAGATTATAAAGCTCACACAACTTTCACAAAATAACCATTATATCAGCACATCTGTTAATAAATCTAAAGCAGCATGGCAAGTTATTAACAAAAATAAAAATCAGTTCCCTGCAGAAACAGCGCAACTAATTTATAATGTAGATGGTGTAAAAGTAAGTGATCCAACAAAAATGGCAAATTTATTTAATAATCACTTCGTGGATTCAGTACAAAAAGCTAACAATAGTGGTCGTTCTTATTCACAGAGGTTTTCCGTGTCTAACTCGATATTTATGCCTCAAAGTACAATCGAGGTGGTACTTAAAACCATAAAATCATTAAAAATGACGCAAAGTGTTGGAATAGATGGTATTCCTACTAAATTGGTTAAGGAGTTTTCTAAATATTTAGCATCCCCCTTAAATCATGTGATAAATTTGATGTTTGATTCCGGCGTGTTTCCTGATGCGTTAAAAATTGCTATTGTTAAGCCAATATATAAAAAAGGAGAACACACTAACATAAAACACTATAGACCAATAGCCCAATTAAATGTTATCTCAAAGATATTTGAAAGAATTATCTGTGACAATCTTTACCAATTTTTTGAGAAATATAACATATTTTGTAAAGAGCAATATGGTTTTAGACGAGATAAAAATACAAATATGGCAATTTATCACTTGTTACAGTCTGTTATTAATTCTGTTGATCAAAGACAACATGTATGTGCGATATTTATGGACATGACAAGCGCGTTTGATCATGTTGATCACAGATTGCTGCTGGACAAGCTTTACTCATACGGTGTAAGAGGTATAGCACATGATTTGATGAGATCTTATCTCAGTAACAGGAAACAGTATACTGTTATAACAAAGTTGTGTAGTAAATCGGGAATGATAAAGACATTTTCATCAGTTTGTAGAGATGTGGAAGTAGGTGTACCACAAGGCAGCATAGTAGGACCTTTGTTTTTCAATGTATACATAAATGATCTATCAACTGTTATTGATCACCCTATCATAATGTTTGCCGATGATAGTACTGCCATAATCAAATGTGATGACATCCTCACTTACGAACAAAAAATAAATGTAGCTCTGAAAAATGTTAATGACTGGTTAAAATTAAACAACCTAATACTTAATACTAATAAAACAAAAATAATGCATTTTAGGCAAAAAACTCACAAACCGAATGTAACTTTAGATATTAATAATGACATAATTGAATCAGTCTCTGACATTAAATTTCTAGGTGTACAAATTGACTATCAAATGAATTGGAAATCTCATACTGAGATGCTTTGCAAAAGGTTATGTTCCTCTGCTTACGTCATGTTCAAGCTTTCTAAGATAGCAAACACCAAGACCGTCGTAATGGCCTATCATGGATGTATAGAATCCATATTACGCTATGGGTTAATATTCTGGGGCAATTCTACAAATAAAACAATGGTCTTTAAAGCCCAAAAAAGATGCATCAGGGCTATTAAGGGTTTAAAGTCTACTGATAGTTGTGAGGAGGTCTTTAAGCAGTTGAAAATTTTGACATTACCTTCCTTATATATTTATGAAGTTGCAGTGTTCGTCAAAAATAACTTCCATATGTTTCCTACATTTATAGAACAGAATTCGCATAGGAACTATAGACGAGGGATAGGGAATACATTATGTGCAATGGAACGTAAAACTGCACTATTTAGCAATAGTGTCTTTGGGATGGCTACTACAATTTTTAACAAAATACCCAATAATATAAAGAGTTTGCCAATGACTATGTTTAAGAAACGCTTAATGAAACTATTAATTGACAAAGTATACTATAATACACAAGAGTTCCTTAGTGACACTTCCTTGAAAAAAATGGACATAATTACGTAATTGACTTATATTTTAGTCTATTATAGCACAATTTATTATTATTATTAGTTTGACATATTGCTTAGTAATTTTGACATTTAATTCTATCTATGACTTGTTTTATTGTAATTGTAATTTATTAATATGGATTTTTATATAATTGTAAACCTAATTATTTCATAAAAAATATTGTATACCTTGTAATAAGGTCGAAATGTAGTGACACTAAACTTTTATCCTAACACCAATTTGCTGTACTAACCTACATTTCACAATAAAGCATTTGAATTTGAATTTGAATTTGAATTTGAAAAGATGTAGTATACAAGAACCGGTACGACAGTGTGCAGGAGTTACAAAATGAACTCAAACGTATTATTACAAACATTCACCACGCAAAGATAATGAAATCGACAGGCAGAGAAATTATTAAAAGAGTGAGAATTTGCATACAACAAAATGGATCACATTTTGAAATTTACTAAATTATTATTTTTCTTGCACCGTTTCGTTTTTATATTAGTTTGTGTTAAATAATTAAGAAAAATGTTAAATTTAATGACTTTTCTTTCATTTAAAATGCTATGTTATTTAGCAAAAAATAAATCTTATGTTTAACCCTTTCATTAGTTACCATAAAATAAGTCGAGATTTTTTTCGAAATTTCACGAGTTTGATTCCCAGTTGTAGCAGGCGATTTTAGAAAAATCTGTGAATGCAGTTCTAGTTTTTATTAAAAATATAATTATGTCTTCTTTCAGTAAAACATCCTATCTTCAATATTTAATATACTTTCCCTCCGTGTGAGGAAGCCGTGCGATGCCCTGTATATTTTTTTCGGAAATCTAGTATTTGATGGTAGGATAATAATATACGTGGGATACTATATTATATAGACGGGTTGTCATCCTTAGCCGTGACGTGACCTACCACGCAGGTCCTACGAATGTTTTACCATATCGGTGTGCCCGGACCATTTACCAATCATTAACAACTTTAGAATACCCTATACCCTCCCCCTGTTAATAAAAAAAGTTTTTCTATCCATAATATAAGGCTTTTTTGGGATCCTTTCCTAGATTATTTCAGAGCAACGAAGATACAAGTAAAATACCGTAGGTAGCTAAGTACTAACATAATTAGATAGATTTAATAAATAATCACATGAAATAAAGTATATTTAAACACTTACTTCTTTCATTCATTTCACTGGCAATAGCTTCCCATGTCTCTGCTCGTTTCTCTTGATTCGTAAAGTTCTCGTGTTGTGTGTCATACAATATTGGGTACTTTTTGACACATTCTATTAATTTATCTGTGTTCATTTGGTCCACGTGGCGAATAACTGGTCAATACACAACACAAGCGGTGCGCTTGGCTCTGGTACCGAGACTCGCATTCGCTCCCTGTCTGACATTGTTCGGTTGATACGAACGAAGTTAGCAGCTGTCTTGCTCTCGCCTCGCTTCACGTCACAGCCGACAAAGCCCCCTCGATTCTCCCTCCTTTGCGTCATTCACCTTCGGATTCGATACGGAGACGCATTGCCGTCGCATTTTTATTCTACCCAAAACAATGGATAGACGGAACGGAACGTAATACCTATTGGAACTCGATATTTGTTACAATTTTCATCGAAAATTACTGGACCGATTTCGTAAAGGTTTTTGTACCTACTTGAAAGGTTTCATTGTAGTGAAGTGAGTTTAAGCACTATTAATATTTGTTTGCTACCAATGCTACCATAAATACTTAGCAAGTGCATGATCTTTTAACAACGGTCAAATGTTAACGCAACACAAACTAAATTGTTTTTTTTATACAAGTGCGCAGTACTTATGTTCACTCAGTCTGGCAGTCCAGTCGCGAAAAAAGAGGCGGGCACATTATTGCTGCATCGGCAAAAAACTCGAGAATGTTCGGAACATTTATCACTTCAAGGACATAATACTACAGAAGGATGTTGCTTGCTTATTAGATATATAGGAAGACATAGAAGCATACAACGAGTAAAATTATATTTTATGTATGAAAAGCATTTCATTAGTGATAAAAATAAATGAGGAATCAGTCGAGAACGTTTGTATAGAAAAAAACATCGGTAAAACTGTACTTCCAGGGCCCAAGACGGAGAAGAAAAAAAAAATGTTTTGGTCACAACACTAACCTAACCTAGTGTGAAGTATCACCACTTGGGCCCTGGAAGTACAGTTTAGCCAAAACATTGCCGCCTGCCCTTTTAATAAAGTGAATCCTCGTTTTAAAATTTGCAGCAGAATATCGCTTTTTCCTATCTCTCTGGAAATGTTAAATAGGAATAGGTAGTGAAATAATATACACAATTACACAGTGCGACAGAGGCCGCACGAGGGCGGACATTGTATCGGATGTCGGCGGTTATTAATGTGATTCATTATGGTGTGTCGATGGTCAACTAGCCAATTAAGTACTATATATAAAGCTCATGTACAAAACTAACTAAACTTTAACTTGAACTATGAAAGTAAAACCTATTAATTGGTAATTCTTCAATATTGATGCAATTGCTGAAAAAATAAATATGTACGAGAAAATTGATCATGCAATTACAATTAAAACAAAAGAAGGTTAAGAAGTTTTTTAAAAGCATATTTGTTTGTAGAATTTAATATAAATTTGTTAGGTAACGACTACATTTTTTTCCAAATTCAGCCTAATATTGACTACCTATTTATATAACCAACTGTTTCGTTAATCAATATGTGTGATACACGCAAAAGTGGTAGAATCCCCAAGAAATAAAAACTACAATATTTTTATTGAACTGCTAGATGTTGAAATCTAAAGAAAAAATATATTAAATTTTGTGTCTGTACATCGTTTTACTCATGTGCTATAACTTTGTTGGACATGTCATGTGCTTAATCTACATTTCATTGAAACATTTGTAAGCGAAGGGTCTTATTTCGTATCCAGTCTATATCTTAAACAAATCAACAATTTTTTTTAATGTCTATACCATTGATTACATTATCATCTATTAATCTCAATTCATATTCAATTTAATTTATAAGAAGAACGAATGTTACATCTATAATGAATTTAGTCAGTGTATGTATACCTAAGCTAGTAAACTAACAGAGATACATTAAAGCTAAGGCAATATTAAAAACCTTAAATGTTCTTGTGACGCATAAACATTATATTGCACATGTTGCGACCTGTCTCAATTAATTCAGCATTATCAAGTTTAAATAAATTGATAAGTGCATGAGCCGTTCAGTAAAACATACCTACCACTACCGCAATAATGGTTGTTATTTTCATTCGCAATCACAATAATCGCGTACATAATTGCTTGGCATGCGGCGCGCATAACGTGCGAGATCGGATAACGCTAAAAATAGAACTGCGCCTGCGACGCATCGAACTGCATTCGCCTCGTACTATTATACCCCAACACACTTATCACATTAAAGAGTATAAAATGGGTTTAATATAATAGGCAATCTGTGTTTCCTCTCTCCAGGACTTCCGATGCGTTAAAGGGTTTTGACGTGACAACGTCTTAAATTAGGTTGCGGCTGGGAGTCACTTATGAAAAAGTGTAACGCTCGGTAACGTTACGATGAGTTTAAGTTTACATGTACAATGTTTTAGTAAACAAAATATATTTCTATAGTTAAAATTTGTGCAATTCTTATTTTCATTCAATTCCTTGTTCCTATTGTGCAATTTAATTATATTCATATCAATAAATATTCTACCGAGAAAAAGACGTTGTCACGTAAAATCTTCGCCCGTAAAACCGACTTTACAGGCAACCATTTTTGACGTGACAACGTCTTAAATTAGGTTGCGGCTGGGAGTCACTTATAAAAAAGTGTAACGCTCGGTAACGTTACGATGAGTTTAAGTTTACATGTACAATGTTTTAGTAAACAAAATATATTTCTATAGTTAAAATTTGTGCAATTCTTATTTTCATTCAATTCCTTGTTCCTATTGTGCAATTTAATTATATTCATATCAATAAATATTCTACCGAGAAAAAGACGTTGTCACGTAAAATCTTCGCCCGTAAAACCGACTTTACAGGCAACCATTTTTTTTTTTTATTGCCTTCGAAGGCAGACAGACTAGCAGACGGACCTCCTGATGTTAAGGCGACGCCGTATACGTATTTCTGACAGCCCTCTGTGCAGAGCCTGCCTGGAGGACGAGGAGACGAGCGTCTATGTGCTGCTGGCGTGCAGGGGCGTTGCAAGACAAAGGTCTTCTCTAATGGGAAGCATGAAGACAATAGTAGAAGCCTGCAGTAACATTCGGGGACTGCTGTGCTTTCTGGAGGAGCTGGGATGGCAGGACTGATGCCAATCCCCACGCCTAATAGGCACTGGATGTCGAGTTGCGGAAACAGCCCACGGTTTTACTAAGACTAAGACTAAGGCGTCACCGTTGGCTACGGACATTAAGCAATGCAAGTGACAGTCATGCTGCTGCCATTAGTATAACATTATTTTAATTGATAATTTTAGATAGGAGATATTGTTTATAATGAAGGTTACGCAAGTATTCTTGAAGATGGTCAGACTGTAGATTATGTGCACCGATATGGTCAGTTAAAACACAAAACTTGACTTTATCATATACACTCAGTATTTTACAGTGGTTAAACAAGCCACCATAATTGTCTTCATATATTTTTTTAAATATTTTGGAACAATACTTTTTAATATTCTTATTTGTAATCTGTACCATATCATATCATGCTATAGCACTGAGCAGCGCGGAGATGAGCTCATTCCATAGCTTTATTGTCCATGGAAGAAAAGATCTCTGCTGGAAACACACAGTTGTGGTTTCTGTCACTAGAAGTCTGCCTGTTTTATTAAATGAGTTTGTAATGGCTTTGCAAAACAAGGTACGCGTGGAGTATAAATATTATACATTCTTGCTTCCCTCTGTCCTTTCCTTCCGCATTAAACGTAAAAGATTGATTATAGGAGGAGTCTACATGGAGAAGTCTTTTAAATAATTGTGCCAAATAAACTGTAAGCCTGTGTTTGTTTTTGAAAATTGGTTTCTTTGATCTTGAAGGGTTGGGATTTCGATAAATAGCTCATTTACGGTACTAAAGACACAAAAATATGGATAGCTACAATTTTTGTTAACATGAGTTAAAAACTACTTTCTACGCTATACGTTTGGTCTTGACCAATTTTCCAAAAAGTTGTTACTACATAGTCGTTGTGCCACATATGTTGGCTATAGAAAGTAGATTATAAATCTTTAGAGGTCATGTGAATAATTAAAAAGCATCGTAAAAGAAGTATATTAACGGTGATTTAAGAGTGATCGTTGCCAATTTTCAGTACGTAGCAGCCGTGCCAAAATGATTATATTATTGGTGCAAATTTCACAGGAGTGAAAAACAAAAAGAAAACAACTGCCTTAAATAAATCAGTTACTGTATAATTTGGCCTTGAAATGTTTTAGTTACGTAATACGTTAAGAGAGGTAGGGTAGAGGAGGTAGGTAGAAGAAGATAGAAGGTAAAAAACCACAGTAAAATAACACTACCTTTTGATGGTGTTATGTTTCTGTCGGTGAGTAAGGTTCCAGGATTACACGGGGTAGGGGATTGGATGAGGGTAGCCAACGATGTTAGTGACATTTTTGGCATCGCAAGCGTCTATAGCCTATGTGGTCACTTAATACGCTTGTTCGCCACCCCTTTTTACGTAAAATAAAAGATTTATTTTCAACAGAAAATTCTAGTGTGCCATTTATTGTTTCATTCAGTTCCGATTTTTATAACACAAATAAATCCATCTCAAAAATGAAATCCACGAATCGAACAAACTGATGATATTAATGACTAAATGATTCTAACTTTTGCAAGGAATAGTTCAGTCAATAGAATAGTTGATTATATAACCCCTTTAAAATATAAAAATGGGTGCGTGTACTTATGTAGGCGCGTGAGAAGTTATCCTTCTTTGGCATCGTTTAAAATTAGTTTTTAATTGCATGCAAATAATTAATTACAATAAATTAATAAAAAGTCTGGAAAAGGACACAGTCAATAAAGTTCAGTTTAATTTGAAAAATTAAATAAATAATCAAAATATTCAATTAAAATCGCTACTGAATATAATTTATTAGAACATATGTGATTTGCACTTGTATGAAACTCAAACACGTATTCCGAATATACAAACTAGAAACATGTGGATAAATATTATAAATATGAATACCTATAACTGTTACTTTATTACAAAAAATAAAGATGTGGTTTTTGGTTCTACTACACCAATGGTCAAGAGATGGCGCTGTAGTCTCC